GCATTACATCCATCTCGGAGGACTAATGTGCTGCCCAGGTGAACTCATTCACTTCGAAAGACACTTGAGATCCTCGCCGGACCAATTTCCCCAACAAACTACATGGTTTCGATTACTCATCAACCTATTCCGCGAGATCGTCGGGGACGGGCTCGAGAGATCGAATCTAGTCGAGTCCCCGAGAACAGGGCCACATGTGATTGTTCCTCCCGGGGGCCACATACCCATCGACACGAATGCATGAGGCCTTCGGGCTTCACTGTCCGGACCATCTGTGCGAATATCGGCGAGAGAAAGATACGTCGTACATTGAGTAAAAAAGGAAAATCTGAGCAGGTAATTGAATTACGAGCGTTATTTCCGATGCATTCATCTCAAGGGCGGGAAATTTGTCCCACTTCGTTCCCTCTCTTTTTCGAAAGTGCAATCCTCTGTGACGCTGACGCAGAGGGTCATTCTCGTTGCTGAAGAATATCCTCAGTGACCGGCGGCATCGCCCATCCGAGGTGAATATCAAGAAATACCTCTCGATACAATTCAACTCGGAGCTCTTGTTCGAAAACTGACTGGGTTCAATCCTATTGGCGAGAAATTGACACAGAATAGTGTGTGTTCGTGATATAATATTTGTTGGCAACCGAGGTCGTAATTTATGAAGTCAGAATGGTCCTGAATTTTCCGTTTCATCTTTCTATTATGGGCTGAAAACGGAGAAACGGAATGTTCTTCCCGGATGTCCGCTTTTAATCATGATGTCCTCGCGGACAATGTCCTTTTTCCGGCGGAAATGTCTTCTCATATCGCATTCCTATCTATGGAGCACGGATGGGGCGCAAGAATCGGGCGCAAAATATACATATGGATGAGTAATCATTTTCGTTTTCAAGGCATCTGACCGACGAGCCTTCCGGACTCGCGACTCACGAGGGTCGCTCGCGTTTGTCCTTCCCGACCATTTGCACCACCATGTGCTCCTCCATGTGCACGGAGACGGAAAGGTGGGCCGCTTGAATTCACGCATGCAACGATTTCCAGAGCAAGGAATTGAGGTCCGAAATTCAGAGCTTTTAATTTGATTCCAATCGAATTCATTGATATCATTAGGAAGTTGAATTTTCTGTCCGATTGTACGGTTCGGCGTCCCACCGAATTCCAATGGATCCACCTAAAACACTCAATAACGGATTTCACTCCTGGTTCGTCTACTTGAGGTAGTGGAAATCCCGAGACTGTTTCGACGTCGGTCGGAGCGGGCAGTAGCCGGTTGTGTGAGCGTAGTCGCCTCCTACATTGTGGCAGATCTGGCAACGGTAAGTCTTCAGCTTCGGGCACGTCACTTTGCTGAAGAAGTTCTTCAGGGTGTGGGATCGGTATACTCCGGCTGCCTCACCATTCTTCAAACAAAATGGACAGTAGTCCAGTGCAGCGAGTGGTATCAGCTGGACCT